TAAGAATGATGGAACATAATTTAGTTTCTTCTGTGTCTCAGATGTTGATCTGTTCTCTTATAACCAGTCTAATTTATTTGATGTAAATTGAACTTTATAGAATAATTAACTATTGATATTCAAGAAAAACATCTTTGCAAAAGTGAGTATCCTGTTTCCACCAATACTTCATCATAAGCTAAAAATTGAGGAAGCAAATAAGGAGCGCATGGCTCATTGGGTCCCTGTGTTCTGTCCATGCACTTTTTTAAAGATATTTTTTAGATTGTTGATGGACTTTTATTTTATTAATTTATTTATATGTGATGGTGAGAATCGAACCCAGTGCATCAAACATGCGAGGCAAGCTCTCTAACACTGAGCCACAACTCCAGCCCTATCCATGCAGTTTTTAAAAGACATGCCAATTCTGTACCTACATGGTATTTCAAAGAATGAATGTGACACTTATTACAAAACAGTAAGAGTTGAGGGTGAAGCACCAAATTTTACTTTTCAGTGCTTTACTCTTGTATCTATTATCATCATTTGGGATGAAAAAGGGAACCATGGAGCAAATGTGGTTTATAACTGGAAAATTAACATGTGCTTTCTGGAAAGCTTGAAATATAAATTAAGGATAATTTCAAAGAAGAAGAGAAAAGTAGAAGAGAGGAAGTGAAGGAAGAAAGAAAGGAAGGTAGGCAGGGAGGAAGGAAGGAAGGAAAATCTCATCTTCTATTTAAGAATGGAAACAAGACAAAACAAAAATCAAATTGAAATACCTGTTTTCATAACTTACATGGTCCTATATAATCATATCATAAGTATTCAATTAACTATACGTAGAACAATACTAGGCATTCAAAATAGAACAGGAATTTCATCTTAAAAAGTCCATGAATAGATCATGGAATCCTGACATAAGAACAAAATTATCTCAGTTATGAGGCTTGTTTTTTGCAACAAATCAAGATACCCATGATGTTGTCTGAGGCACATGAGTGAGATAATGTGACCATGCACTGTCTGTGGTTTTCCCCACCCAGCACCCATGGCATATAAAAGGCAGGTGGCAGACAGTGACATCCAGATTCAAGACACCTACATCCTTATCCTGAACTAAACGTTCCACTCCTGACAGCATGAGCTGCTACTATGGCAACTACTATGGTGGGCAGGGCTATGGCTATGGTGGCCTAGGCTGTAGCTATGGCTGTGGCTATGGTGGCTATGGCTGTGGCTATGGTGGCTATGGCTGTGGCTATGGTGGCTATGGTTATGGATGCTACCGCCCACTCTGCTACAGAAGATGCTGGTCCTATGGATTCTACTGAGGAGTATCCTCACCCTCTGAGCATAGTGGTTTAACCTCCTGTCTTGCTGGAATCATCTCCAAATTTGTTACATGAGAAATGTTTGAATGTCTTCAGCAATAACAACTTGATTCCAAATACTCTAAGAAAAATGGATGAGATTAGCTACCAGTTTTGATGCACCTTATTTCTTCTATGGTGTGATAGTTTAAAGAAATGTTTTTTTTTTTTTTTTAATAATTATAGCACTATGTAAATTGTGCTTGAATTTGACTGTCAACTTCTGATTAAAATGTCCATATTATTAAATACACTTTATTTCATGAGATATATTATGGTGTTGCTATTATTTTTACTTGTCTCCATCAGTGTAGCATGTATATTTGTGTGTTTGCATGTGATTAATCATGTGTGTGTCTGCTCGTTTACCCAAGAGGAGAGAGACAGAACGTGTGCAATGCTAGAGAGACAGAGCAAGCAGGTCAGAGGTCTTCTATGGTCAGCAGAGTCTTAAAATTAATGAGGTAAAATCAGAAATTCTTTCTAACATAATACAAAATCTGTGTATGTCTTTTTATCTTTCCTACAATTACTCTTTGATTATAATTTTAAAATGAGTTATATTTTACAAATAAGTTTGTATTTTTATCAGATTATTTAAAATTCTCTATATTTGTATAGTTTGTGTTGTTTACATTCCAAGGGATCAGATGATATTGGCTACAGCCCTGCCTCTGTGAAATGTTTCTCAAATTAAAAGAAATATGTGAGTGTGTGTGTGCACGCGCAAGCACTAGCACGCACAGAGATAGATATGTATAGATGTTTATCTCCTGCCAAAACAATGACTGCGGGATTCATCACATTGAAAATGTCAGCACTAATGATCATCTTCTAGATTACCATCATGGTGATCAAATAGAATTTCAAATATTTATCAATTTATTCTTCTCTTTAAAAAAAATTCATGTATTATGCATAGCAAGATGAAATTTATCAAAAGTAGGAGATACTTTCTTTATGTTATATTAACATTTAGGTGCTTTCTTTTTTACCCAGAAGTCTCATCTTTATCAAATGTATATTCCTACAAATGATAATTTTCTCAAGAATCAAATTGTTGCCACCCTTAAAGTCATTATGTTTCTCTTGGGAAACAAACTGACAGCATTCAATGCAATGAAATGCTGATAGAGAAGTAAGGAATAAGGAAACTGATTTCTTAAGATGGCAAAGTGATAAAAATAAATAAATAAATAAAAAGAGGAGTGAAATTCTACACTCTTCATGTGTACGAGCCAGAAGAGAGGTTGGTATGACAAGAGTACCCAGCAGAATTCTAAATCCTTTTGAATTTTTCTTGATTGAAAAAACATAGGTGGAGACATAAAAAGATACAGAATCCTTTTAAGAATGTGTGGAGAGATAACTGAGTTTAAAAGAGACAGGTTTCTCCCTGAGCTGTTTTAGAAATTTAGGAGTTAAAGAGTCGATTTCTTGAGACACAGAGCAGAATCATTTGGATATGATATTGAAAATTGTGTTCATATCAAGTTAATGAGAAAATGATCCTTTAAATTATGAAGAGTCATCCGTAATAGGTAACACAAAAATTCATAACCTATAGGCTATACTAAACTATGTAAATGTACTCTAACCAAAGTTCAAGAGCCTAATTTCATGATAGTTCTCATTTGAATTTGAGCAATGTGAACTTTTCTAATAGGCAACACAGCTCTCTATTGTTAAATATAATATTGTTAGGGGTCTGTAAAATTTTAATAGAAAACGTTGAGCTTACGAAAACCTATAGAAATATGTAAAGGAAACAATAGAAAACAAAAGGTAACTCAAACATCAGTCATATATTGAAGTTTGTGTTAACTTTAGAGAAATGTATCAAAAAATCTAACTTAAGGTCTGGTTATTTTCTAAAAATACAAATGAATAATGTGGTAAAAATTTAAGAATTAGCTTCAGAAAAACAATGTAATATGCATAATACTCAATATTTCATACCTGCTCAAGAAACATGATTTTTGTCCCATTTCAAAAGAAAAAAAAAGTTTTATTTTTTTAACACTAAAATCTTCTCCAATATCCTTTTGCCACTTCTAAAATGTCATGATATGAACAATAAACATTGTAATAGGAGGAAACACAGAAATAATCATAAATTTCATGCAACACAATGCTTTAAAAATGATTGACACGTGTTTATAAAACATGATTGACACATGTTTATAAAAATAAATGCCAATTGACAGATGAAAGAGGCTAGCTGACATATGTGAATTCTCTCAGAATTCTCCAATGACTTGGATTTTTTCACATCTATGCACTTATGACTACCTTCAGTGTTCAGTGACAGTGAGGAGCACAAGTGATAGGATTTGTGAATCAGAGGACATTTGGATTCAGCAATTGTAAAATGAAGAGTGGAAGCTCCTTTCTTCCTTACCAATCCCTCCAATGCCTGTGTTGGTGTGGTGTAACAACATTTAGATTTACCTCTCTGCTTGACTGTGACTCATTCAGCTGTCCTCTTAAAATAGGTCAAATTTACTTTGTGTAAATTATGTTTTAACAGAATATATTATTCTGTTCACATATTATATATACTAATATAATATATTATTATATAATATAATCAGTAATATATTAACCAAAAAATAATTAAATCTTTCCATGACTGAGTATGAGTATCTTTGTTCCCATCATTGCCTCATGGATGAGCTAAACACTGTGGAAGCAAATAACTGATTCCTGGATGGTTGGTTGCTCTGGATAGTTTGTACCTTCCACACACTATTTAAGAGACATGTCATCCCTGAACCTGCAAGGCATTTGTAAGATAAAATGTGACACCTGTTAAAAAAGCCATGAGCCCAAGATGAAGCACACAACCTTATCTTAGAGTGTTTGACATTCACATCTAGAATCTTCATTTGGGATGGCGAAGGGAACCATGGAGCAAATATAGTTTCTAACTGTTAATGATTCATATATTTTCTGAAAAGTCTGAAATATAGATAAGATTATTTCATAAGAAAAAAAGAGAAAGAATCAAAGAAGAAAGCAGAGGAAGGAAGGAAGGAAGGAAGGAAGGAAGGAAGGAAGGAAGGAAGGAAGGAAGGAAGGAAGGAGAAAGAAAGAAAGAAAGAGAGAGAGAGAGGGAGGGAGGGAGGGAGGGAGAGAGGGAAGGAAGGAAGGAAGGAAGAAGAAAGAAAGAAAGAAAGAAAAGAAGGAAGGAAGGAATGAAGGAAGGAAGAAAGGAAGCACCTTTCTAGGGAATAATGGAAAGAACACAAAACAAAAATACAAATGAAATACCTGTTTTATTATTTACATTATATTATGTCATCAGATATATTAGTTCAATTAACTGTAGAATAATTTGTTCGATTAATATAGAATGAGACACAGCATTTAATATACAACCTGAATTTCATTTTAAAGGCACATAAATTGATCATGGAAACTGACAAAGAACAAAATTATCTCAGTTATGAGACTTGTTTTTGCTGTAATTCAAGATGTTCATGATGTTGTTTGATGCACATGAGTGAGATCATCTGACTGTGCCTGCCTGTGGTTTTCCCCACCCAGCACCCATGGTATATAAAAGGCAGGTGGCAGACAGTGACATCCAGACTCAAGACACCTACATCCTGATTCTGAACTGAACGTTCCACTCCTGACAGCATGAGCTGCTACTATGGCAACTACTATGGTGGGCTGGGCTATGGCTATGGTGGCCTAGGCTGTGGCTATGGCTGTGGCTATGGTGGCTGTGGCTATGGTGGCTATGGCTGTGGCTATGGTGGCTGTGGCTATGGTGGCTATGGCTGTGGCTATGGTGGCTATGGTGGCTATGGTTATGGATGCTGCCGCCCACTCTGCTATAGAAGATGTTGGTCCTATGGCTTCTACTGAGAAATATCCTTAGCTGTTGAGCTTACTGGCTCTAACCTCCTGTCTCTCTGGAAACATCTCCAACTTTCTTCACATGAAAAATGTTTGAATGTCTTCAACAACATCAACTATATACTCAACTATCTGAGAAAAGCAAATGAAATCAGCATGCCTGTGTTGGTTCATTATTACCTCTTGGATTGTGATAGTTTGGAGAAAATATTTTCCTTTGATAATTATCCTTATAACACTATGTAAAATCTGATTGAATTTGATTCACAATTACTGTATAAAAAGATACATATACTAAATAAATTGTTATTCACTGAAATCATGGCTTTCCTACAGTTCTTCTAAATTGTCTCCATCAGTATAGCAGGTATAATTGCGTATTTGCATGTGATTAGTCATGTGTGTGTTTTTGTTTACCCAAGTTGGGGAGAGAGAGTGTGTGTGCACATGGAAGACAAATCAAGCAGATCAGAGGTTTTCTATGGCCAACAGGGTCTTAAAATTAATAGGGTAAAATCATAAATTCTTTCTAATATCATACAAAATCAATTTTTCTATGTTTTTTCGTCTTTTATATACTCACTTTTTGCGTATATGTTTTTAAAATAGGTATTTTCTACAAATAAGTTAGTATTTTATCAGATTATTTAAATTCTCTATATTTGTATACTTTGTATTGTTTACAGTCTGAGGAGTCAGATGATATCAGCTGCAGATCTGCTTCTTTGAAATGTTTCTCAAATTAAAAGAAATGTGCATGTGTGTACATGTGCATGTCCGTAAACAGAGCTGGATACATGCAGATGTATATCTCCTGCCTAAACAATGACTGCAGGCTTCATCATATTGAAAATGTCAGCACTAATGATTATCTTCTAGATTACCATCATGGCAATCAAATAGCATTTCAACGTATATCAATTTATTCATCTCATTAGAAAAATACATGTATTATGCATAGCAAGAAGAAATTTATCAAGAGTAGGAGATACTTTTTTATGTTATATAACATTTGGGTGCTTTCATTTTTACCCAGAAGTCTCATCTTTATCAAATATATATGCCTACAAATGATAATTTTCTCAAGAATCAAATTGTTGCCACCCTTAAAGTCATTATGTTTCACTTGGGAAACAAACTGACAGCATTCAATGCAATGAAATGCTGATAGAGAAGTAAGGAATAAGGAAACTGATTTCTTAAGATGGCAAAAGTGTTGAAACGAGGGGTGAAATTCTACAGTCCTCAAGTGTAGGAGCCAGGAGAGAGGCTGGTATGACATAGAGCACCCAGCAGAATTCTAGGTCCATTTTTAATTTTTCTTGATTGGAAAAACATAGGTGGAGACATAAAAGACACAATCCTTGTAAGGATGTGTGGACAGATGACTGAGTTTAATAGAGCCAGGTTTCTCCTTGAGCTATTTTAGAAATTTAGGAGTTAAAGAGTCAATTTCTTGAGACACAAAGTAGAACCATTTGACTAGGATACTGAAAATCATGTTCATATCAAGTTAATAAGAAAATGATCATTTAAATTAAGAGGAGCCATCTGTAATAGTTAACACAAAAACTTATCCCTTATAGGCTATACCAAAATAGGTAAATGGACCTTAACCAAAATTCAAAGAGCCCTAATATCATGATAATCCTTATCTGAATTTGGGCAATGTGATCTTTTCTTATAGACCAAAGAAAACAAAAAGGCAACACAGCTCTCTATGGTGAAATATACTATTGTTCTGGGTCCTCTAAAATTTTAATAGAAAATGTTGAGCTTAAGAAATCCTATAGAAATATGTAAAGGAAACAACAGAAAACAAAAGCTAATCCAAACATCAGTCACATATTTAAGTTTGTGTTAAATTTAGAGAAATGTATCAAGGAATCTAACTTAAGGTCTAGTTATTTTCTAAAAATGCAAATGAATAATGTGGTAAAAATTTAAGAATTAGCTTCAGAAAAACAATGTGATATGCATAATACTCAATATATCATGCCTGCTCAAGAGACATTATTTTTTGTTCCATTTCAAAGGAAAGAAAATTTGTTTTATTTATTTTTTTTATTTTGTAACACTAGGATTCTCTCCAATGACATTTTGCCACTTCTAAATGCCATGATATGGACAACAAACCTTGCAATTTGAAGAAATACAGAGATAATAATAAATTTCACACAATACAATGTTTTAAATATGATTGACACATGTTTATAACAATAAATGCCAATTGGTAGCTGAAAGAGGCTAGTAGACCTAAGTGAATTTCTCTCAGAATTCTCCAATGATCTGAATGAGAAGCATGGTAAAACACAGGTTTTTGTAATGTCTACGCACCTAGGACTACCTTCAGTATTTAGTGACAACAAAGTCTAGAACTGTCAGGATTTGTGAGTCAGAGGACATTTGTGTTCAGTAACAGCAAACTCAGAGTGGAAGCTCCTTCCTCCTTACCAATCCCTCTCATGTCTACATTTAGAATAGTGAAACATAATTTAGATTTATCTCTCTGCTTGACTCTCTAATTCATTGAGCTCTCCTTTTATAAAAGGTTTAATTTACTTTGTGTAAATTACATTTAAAAAATGTCAGTAGTATGTTAAAAATATATATATATTTTCATGACTATCTTTGTTCCCAGAATCACTCCATGTATGAGCCAAATATTGTGGAAACAAACAACTGGTTTCTGGACAGTTTGGTCGCTCTGAATAGTTTGTATCATCCACACACTTTTTAAGAGACATGTTATCCCTGAACCTGCAAGGCACTTCAGGATCAGTATCTTTGATCAAATGTGACAAAAATGTGACACCTGTTAAAAAAGCTATGAGCCCAATATGGAGCACACAACCATACCTTAGAGTGTTTGACATCTGCATCTACAAGGATCATTTGGGATGATGAAGGGAACCATGGAGCAAATATAATTTCTGTTAATGATCATGTATTTTCTGGAAAGTCTGAAATATAGATAAGAATAATTTACTAAGAAGAAAAGAAGAAAGGAAATAAAATATTTTTTTTTTCTATTGAAGAATGGAAACAACACACAACAAAAATAAAATGAACTTCCTGTTTTTATGATTTGGAGGATACTGTATAATCAGATATATGTGTTCAATTAACTAAATACGGAATGGGATGCAGAATTCAAAATAGAACAAGAATCTCATTTTAAAGGCCAATAAATGGATCACAGAATCCTGATGTAGGAATAAAATTATCTCAGTTATGAGGCTTGGTTTTGCAATAATTCAAGATAATCATGACATTGTCTTGGTCACATAAGTGAGACAATATGACCAAGCATTGCTTGTGGTTTTCCCCACCCGGCACTGAGGAGGTATAAAAGGCAGGTGGCAGACAATGACATCCAGACTGAAGACATCTACGTCCTGATCCCGAACTGAAGGTTCCACTCCTGACAGCATGAGCTGCTACTATGGCAACTACTATGGTGGGATGGGCTATGGTTATGGTGGCCTAGGCTGTGGCTATGGCTGTGGCTATGGTGGCTATGGCTATGGTGGCCTAGGCTGTGGCTATGGTGGCTATGGTTATGGATGCTGCCGCCCACTCTGCTACAGAAGATACTATTCCTATGGCTTCTACTGAGGCATTTCCTCAGCTGCTGAGCCTATTGGCTTTAACCTCTTGTCTCCCTGGAATTACCTTCAACATTCTTCACAGGAGAAATGTTTGAATGTCTTCAACTGTGTCAACTATGTTTCAAACTATTTGAGAAAATAAATGAAATCAATTACCTATTTTGATATATCATTATCTCTTGGACTGTGTGATTATTTGGAGAAAAGCATTCTCTTGATAATTATCATAACACTATTTAAAATGTGATCAGATTTGTCTATGTATAAAAATACGTATTATGAAATAAACTGTATTTCACTGGAAACGTTGATGTGGTACAGTTCTATTAAGTTATCTCTGTGAGTCTGCCCTGTGTATTTGTGTATTTCCATGTGATTAGTCATGTGTGTGTGGTTGTTTATAGATATGGGGGAGAGAGTCAATGTTCTTCTGTGGTAAATAAGGATCTAAGAATTAATGGGGCAAAAATATTAAATTTTTCTAACATATTTTACAAAACAGTTTCTTATGTATGTCTTTTCATCTCTCCTACAATTACTCTTTGCTTAAAAGTTCTTAAAATGGCTATTTTTATGGTAATATTTTTATTTCACATGAGACAATTTAAAGTTTTCTGTATTTTAATGCTTTGTGTTGTTAGCATACACATCAATCAGATGGTATCAGCTCCAGCTCTTCCTCTGTGAAATGTTTATGAAATAAAACATACGTGTTTGTGTGAGTGTGCATATACATATATCAGTATATCTGTATACATTCTGCCAAGGCAATTACTGTAGGCTTTATCATATTAAAAATGTCTACACTAATAATGAGTTTCTGGATTACCATCATGGCAATAAAATTGCATTTCAAATTATATCAATTTATACTGCTATTTAGAAAGAATACACATATTATGTATAGCAACATGAATTTATCAAAACCCGGAGCTATTTCTGTTTATTAAATTAACATTGGGAGATTTTCTTTTTACCTGGAAGTCTGGTCTTTGGGAAATGTAGATTCCTGCTATGCTAAATCTCCAGAATCAAATTGTTTCCACTCCTAAAAAAAAGTCATGTTTCACTTGGGAAACTGAAACTGACAGCGTTGGTGCACTGATACGCTGATAAAAAGTAAGGAATAAAGGACCTGAGGTCTGAAGACAGAGAGTGTGGTGAAGAGTGAAATTTGACGTTCCTAGGAGTCAGGCAAGCAGTTGCTGTGACAACAAGTAGCCCAAGAATATCATTTTTAATTTTTCAGGGCTGGCAAACCATAGTTGGAGCCGTAAGAGGACACATCTGGATGCGAATGTGCTGAACAACACTCAGCTTCACAGAGGTGCTTTAGAAACTCTGAAGTGGCCTGGCTCAGTTTTTTGACATCACACAGAACTTCTTGATAATTAGATAGAAATTTTGTCCTCATCTAGGTCATGAGGATATAGTCACTAAAACTCAAGCACTGCTGTAAAGAAGTGTCCTTAGTTGAAAGAAACAGAAGAGCATTCTCTATTGGCTCCACCAAAACAGGTGAACAGACCCTAGCCCAAATTCCTGCAGCCTTTTATTATGTTAGTCTGTACTTGAATTAGGACCTTCAGACCCATTTAAAAGCCCAAGATGAATAAAAACAACCCCAAAATTCCATAGTGAAATACAGTATTGTTCTAAATCTTTTGAGATTTGTATATAATATGTTGTTGAGCCTATGGACATTTGCAAAAGAAGCAAAAGACAATATATAAAACATGCTAAATAGTAGAAATGTACCAAAGAATTGAATTCCAATTCTAGTTCTTCTAAAGAGAAAATTAATAATGTAGTTAAGAATTTAATAAATTTAACAAGAAAAAATTTGAATGATTAAACCTAAACACAGGCTTTCAAAAACACTTTGACTGATATACATATTGGAATGAAAAATAGTGAAAAGATTATTAAGGGGTATCATACCTCATGACTGGTAAAACGTACATGGAACTGGAATTCCATGAGGGAGAAAAAATGAGTGCATTTATGAATAGAAAATTGTCTATAATTTTTCCAAAACTGTTGAATGGCATCAAGTCACAAATTCTAAATGTTGTGCCCTGTCAAGAGTGAGAAATTCAATTAAAATTCCAAGTAGGCATAACTCAATAGCTGAAAATTAAATACAAAGCCAAAATCTTAATTTAACTAATTAAAAAAAAAGATTATCTATAAAGAGTAGGAATAAGGCTGCCATTAATGCCTCAACAGGAACAAAGGAAGCTGGATGGAAATGTGATATTTTTTATGTGTGGATTATAAATGACTATCAATCTAGATTCTCACATAATCAACATGTCCAGATAATGAAATAAAATAAGTAAATATATTAGTAGAATCTCATCTTCAAAATAAAGAAAATAGAAGTTCCTAGACAAAGTAATTTTTATTGTTTTTTAAATGCACACAATAAAAAATAATAGATTTATTTATGCAGAAGGAAAGTGATCCAGGCGAATATGGACATTCACAAAAATGTGAAGTTAACTAAAAAAAAATGTAAATATTTGTGCAGAAATACCAGTGGTAGTTTCTTCAAATATTTTTATATGTAGAACAAAAGAAACATAATAAGTATGACACAGATTACCAGAGTACAAAGAACAGATAGGTCTAAGACCCAGGATCAGTAGGAAAGAAGAGTGTCACTAACTCCAATCGATAGTGATGAGTGGACTCTGAGCAAAGGAAGGGAGGTGGGTGTTTCCTGTAAAATTTTACTTACTACAGAAATAGTGGGAGTTTGTGCGTACCCCTGGGTTGGAATATTACTCAACAGAAGTTATTCTTTCACCCCTCACCTTTAGGATGGGAACATCTGTCCCATCCCTGCTGCAATAGGGTTACCCATATCATTTGTTTGGACCTTACCATGGACAGAGTGCATGTCCGTACCCCACGCCTCTGTACTCAGTGTGTTATTTGCAGTGGTTTATTGGAGTGTTGGAAGACATGCTTGGAGTGGAGGTTTGGGCATATATATCTGGGATTTCTCTGACACACTCTTTCTTCCTGGAGAAGATGTTCCAGCAAGCTGCCAGTCCAAGAAAAATGAAAGTAACTTGGCAAAGGCTTTATGCCAATCTACAACCCAGATTATGTTGGCCAAATCCCAGCCAACCCTCAAATACATGAGCAAGACATAAATGCTAATGTTATACGGCATGATTTGAGGGATCATTTTTATAATCAAATTATTTTAGCTGATACTTAAAAATTGTACATATTAATGGAACGGCATAATGTTTTGATACGTGCATAAACTGTAGGATATTTAAATAAGATGAGACATATCAAACACATCATTTATTGTAAAATCTTTTAAAATCTTTTCTTCCTATTTTTAAAATGACATCATATTTCTATTATTTATAGTAACCCTCCTATTAAATAGCATACCCGAATTTCTTGTTCCTGTCTAATCATAATTTAGTACCTGTTGGTCCAAATTTCCCCCGTTTTCCTTCACCTAGACTCTGATAACTAACAACCTCTGTGAAATCAACATTTAAATGCAAGATTATTATAGCAACAACAGTTTTAGATACGACATACTTGATAAGTATGCCAAGAAATATTCAAAAGATCTTTCATAGCTACACTGTTCAAAATTGTTAAACATCAAAAGTACAAATAATCATTAAGAATAAAATTGCTAAATTAAGCTGTGCTTGTACATAGCAAATTTACTTATAAATTCATAAATTAACCAATAAATTTGCTAATTATGCTTTTTTATATTGCAGTTAAGAATTAACACAAAATAAATTTAAACAAAATAACACAAAAATAAATTTCTGAGTCTTAAGAACAAAATGTGAAGCTAAAGAAGTCTACTAGTGTGAATCTATTAGTATGAGTTCAAACCTGTCAAGAGAAATCCCTGATGTTGTAAATTAGGAAAGATTATTCCTTTGTGTTGGTACTGAATAGAAAAGGTTATAATGGAAATATCTGAGATGTTAACATTATGTGATTCAGGGATACATCTTCTGATTAAAGAGGGTTTTCTCTGTGAAAACTCCTCAAGTTCTGATCTTAAGACTTACCAACAATTTGTATGTTGTACAGTATCCATAATAGGGCTTGGTTCTGTTTTTTGTTTTTGTTTTTGTTTTTTTAGGACCATACAATATATATTATATGTTGCCTGTCCCCTAAAAGAATTCTGTACTAAACATGGCATGTTTTCTCCTGAGAACGGACTAGAAATTTGGCAAAACTCAGACATCGAATGCCTCTGTACAAATGTACAGCCTATTTTCTGATCAGTTCCAGAAATACTGAACAATTAAGCAGAATGTATACAGAATTCCCATATATTCTTCCACCCTCTCTCCTCCAGTTTCATCTATTATTAACATTATTTCCATACATTTGCCAAGTTGATAAGCCAATATTGATACATTATTAACATTTGTAGTTCACATTGTGTTGTACATCTATGGCTTTGACTAGTGTATGATAACATATGTACAGTACGAAAGTAGCATACAAAATAGTTTCATGGTTCTAAAATCATCCTTGCTTTGCCTATTTATCCCTCCTTGCTGCCTACCAAACTCCTGGTAACCATCAATAATTATCCCTATTATACTATCTTTTTCAGATATTGTATCAGAATCATGTGATACATAGTATATGGCCTTTTCAGATAGACTTCTTTAGTGTAGCAACAAGCATTTAGATTTCTTCCTTGACTTTTCATTTATGACTTTTCTTTTTAGTGCTGCATAATGTTCCATTTTCAATATATATCACTATTTATCCATTCACTGATGGAAAGCATTTAGATAAGTTCAATTTTTGGCAATAATGCATAGGTGCAAGGCTGGTAGAGTGCTTGCCTCACATGTGTGAGGCACTGGGTTCAGTCCTCAGTACCATATAAAAACAAATAAGAGATATTTTGTCCATATGCAACTAAAAATAATAATAATAATAATAATCCATAGCTGCTATAAACATCCAAGCACAGATATTTGTATG